CCTGGGTGACTGCAGCATTTTGGGGTGGGTTTGGGGCATTTTGGGGCAGGTCTGAGGGTGTTTAGGGACAAGTTTGGGTATTTTAGGACTGGTTTAGGGGTATTTAGGGAAAATTCAGGATGATTGTGACTCTCCTAATTAGGGCAGGTTCGGGGCATTTTGGGGCAGATTTAGGGTATTTGAGGAAATCCCAGTTTGACTGCAGCGTTTTAGGGCAGGTTTGGGGTGCGCTTGGGGCATTTTGGGGCAGATTTGGGGGCATTTAGGGAAAATTCAGAGGGATTGCAACTGTTTTAGGGCAGGTTTGGGGTGTTTGAGGAAATCCCAGTCTGACTTGCAACATTTTGGGGCGGGTTTGGGATATTTGGGGGCGGGTTTGGGGCTTTTTAGGACAGGTTTAGGGGCATTTAGGGAAAACTCAGCATGATTGCGACTGTTTTAGGGCAGGTTTGGGCTGGTTTAGGGTAGATTTGGGGTATTTGAGGAAAACACAGCCTGACTGCAGCGTTTTGGGGCAGGTTTGGGGGTATTGCCCCCCCAAATCACTTTCTCTGAATGGGGGACAGGGATTCCTCAGGTGAGCTGTGGCATATCCGTGTCCGGATGGAGATGGGTGACCGGTGGTGTCCCTTCAGGTGTCCATACTGGGACCAGTGCCATCCGAAATCACTCACCTTAACGAAGTACCGCAGCTCCGAGGGGGTGACGAGGATGTCCGGGGTGACGGGTAACGAGGCGTAGCTGTAGAAACTCTCGTAATCCACGTTCAGCTCCTCCGAGGGGGGGTACAGCGGGTAGTAACTGCCCATGGGGGGTAAAAACAAACACATTACCACTGCCATTACCTGTTGTAACAACCCTCGGACACAACCGGCAGATAATTTCGGGGTAGAAAGAGTTATTTCTGCTTTTTTTCTTTCCCCAGGTAGCCGCTGTCAGCTGGGGGAAGGTGGATGCGCACCACTCCGGGGGATTTACAGTCCTAAAACCCTCCGAATCCTGTTTTTAAAGGGTTATCAAACCCCAAAAGAACATTTTTTTAAGTAAAAAAATGACTTTGAAGGGGAAGACGGCGAGAAAAGTATAGGATTTCCCTCATTTGGCCACCAAAAAAAAAAGGCCTTTTTGGGTTCAGCCGGGTGTTTGCCCTCACCTCCTCTGCGTCAGGATGTGCTTGAGGATTCGTGTGAACCTGTCCGAGATCCCGGCTGAGCTGCGAGAGAAAAGGAGCTGTAAAACGGTTACGGAAAGGGAGGAAAAGGAGAAAAATAATAAAAAGCACGTAGGTTGCGCTGATTAATTAGGCAGGCGGCCTAATTAACGACCGAACAGCACCCACCTGCTGATCTCCTCGGTGCCCATGTGGAAGAGCACGTCGGTGGAGGTGAGGCCGAGGACGACGCCGTCGATGTCGAGGGTACAGGGGTCCGACACGAAGTGGACGCGCTGGTGGGGTGTAGGGGGGGGGAAAAAGGGTGATAAAATGCTCCCAAAGCGCCCTAACAGGCGCAAAATGTGTTCCGGGTTTCCAAAAATGCCCCAAACCAGCCCCGAAATGCCCCAAACCAGCCCCGAAATGTTGCAAATCAGACTGGGCTTTCCTGAAATACCCCAAAATGCCCCAAACCTGCCCTAAAAATGTTGCAGTCACACTGGGCTTTCCTCAAACGTCCCAAACCTGCCCCAAAATGCCCCAAACCTGCCCCAAAATGCCCCAAACCTGCCCCAAAATGCCCCAAACCTGCCGAGCTTTCCCTAAATGCCCCCAAACCAGTCCTAAAACACCCCAAACCAGCCCCAAAATGTTGCAAATCAGACTGGGCTTTCCTGAAATACCCCAAAATGCCCCAAACCTGCCCTAAAAATGTTGCAGTCACACTGGGCTTTCCTCAAACGTCCCAAACCTGCCCCAAAATGCCCCAAACCTGCCCCAAAATGCCCCAAACCTGCCCCAAAATGCCCCAAACCTGCCGAGCTTTCCCTAAATGCCCCCAAACCAGTCCTAAAACACCCCAAACCCGTCCCAAAATGTTGCAGTCACACTGGGCTTCCTAAAACAACCCCAAACCTGCCCCAAAATGCCCCAAACCGCCCAAGTCACACTGGGATTTCCTCAAATACCCCAAATTTGCCCTAAACCGCCCCAAACCTGTCCTAAAACGGTCAGAATCACACTCAGATTTCTGCCAGGAGCGTGAGAAGCTGTTCCCCAGGGATAAATAAAGAGTAAAATTAGGGAATTTTAACCCAAAAAAGGGTTAAAATCCCTTTTCCTGCAGGAAGCGGCAGGATTTGCTCCCAAAAAGGGGGATTTGGGGCAAGAAATCGCTGCTGGATACAAAAAATGCCGGGAAAAAGAACAAAAAAAAGAGGATTTTGGCTCAAACCTCAACACATTTTTGGAAATTTTGCATTTTTTGGCTTTTTTTGGGGGGGGGGGGGGGGGGAAAAAGCGGAATCGGGGCAATACGGCGTTGGCGTTTCGTGT